GAATCAAGTAATTCCGACTTCATATGAGTGAGTTATGTGCATTTTAAAAACGAGATAGATTTCAAAAAAAATATGTTCAAACAGAAAATACGCAACATTGATATGTTGTCTTCCGGGGTTTATAACTGATTCAATATCTAACCAAAATATGTGTTTTTTATAGTCTAAAATGAACTACAAACACCAAGCTACATGATGGAAAAAAATTAAGTAATTCCGACGTCATATGAACGAGTTATGCTCATTTAAAAAAATGTGACACATTAAAAAAATATTGAAATAGAAAAAACGCAGCAATCGATATTCTTTCTTTCGGGACATGTGTCTGATTCAATATCTAACCAAACATATTTTTGTATAGTCAAAAGTGAATTACAAACTCCAAATTACATGTTGGAAAAAATCAAATAGTTCTTACTTCATATGAGTGAGTTATGTGCATTTTAAAAAACGGGAAAAATGTCAAAACGGTTCCGGTTTTTAGAACCGGGACCGGTTTTCATAAAAATGGAGAACCGGTAACCGGACCTTGTTACCAATTCCGGTTCCGGTTCTGGTCCGGTTCCGGTTTGGTTCCGGTCCGATTCCGGTTCATGCGGTTCTAATGCTCATCCCTACATAATATCTATGGGATATATCAGAATTTTATCTATAATGTAGAATTCTACTCAAATTAAAACCTTTAGGTCCCAATAAAAATCACAAGTTTACAATAAAATCTTATTACATAAAAGAACAACAATGAAATAAAATTTATTCTAGGTCCTTGTGCTCCAATCTTCTCATCTAGTACCACGATGGCTGCTACCTAAACCTACAAATCATAAAATCTTTGTTGTATCAAACAACTATGTCCAGTAATCTTTTATAATTTTTTATCTTTCATCTTTCTTTTCTAACTCATACTCTATCATCTAACTCTTTCTGTAATAGTGTACACTGTTATTCTTTCTTCTTTCATCTGTCTCTTATACTCTTCTCTGATTTTTCTTTCTAGTCTTTCTCATCTTATCTATCTCTTTCTCTGTCATCTACTTTGTTTCTTATACTCTTCTCTTAGCCTATTCTCAAGCTCTTTTCATACTCTACTCATACTCGATCTCAGTTTCTTATCTGCTCTATCTCTTCTCTGCTCTGTCTCTTCTATGCTTAGTCTCTTCTCTGTTTCGTCTCTTCTATGATCTTCTTCTTCTCTATTGTTATGCCTCATCATACTTTTCCCATCTATACCCAGTGGTCATATTACATACTTAAGTCTATTCTATCATCTAAAGGAACAAAAGGTCACTATGTGACATCACAAAATTTAGGTCTAAAACTGTAGATAGTCAATTCATCATGAACCTCTTTGAAACTTGACCTATTATGCTTAATGTATATTTGGAAAATGAATAGTGTCATTTCAATTAAAATAAGATGTGAGATGGCATCTTACTTCCAGTTGTAGAAAATCTCAAACGAATCACAACACACAAACTGCAACCCTAGTTAATACGTCTGAAAAGCTGAAATTTTGTATTAAGCAGTTGTGATGTAACATTCATAAAATTCTTGAAATTTTTAACCTTTTTAAACTACCCAAAACCAACATTGTTTACAAACTGTTTTCAAAATAAGTTTCACGTAAGAGAAATCCCAAAATCATAAAACAAAAACATGAGGAGGTGCACGATCACGCATTCGCCTTGCCACGATCCTCTAAGGTACCTGAAATACAATTCAAAACTGTAAGCCCAAATCTTAGTGAGTTCCCCCAAAATACTGATACATAACAAATAGCACAAATATAATAAAAGCATGTAATGGGTCCACAGCATAACATGCTAGATTACTGTTAGGAAGTAAAGCGGATAACTAGCAAAACCAAAAGCACACAAGGCACAGTATTTACGTGGTTCGGTCAAGGTGACCTACGTCCACGGGCAGGAGGGAGTATTCTTTATTTCAAAGCTCTGATACGGAGGTTACAAGTACAATTACACAGAGATTCGCCTATCACTCTAGAATTCAAGATACAAAATGACCTACCATGCATCCCTATTTATACTTGAGGAATCAGACCTAAAACCCTAATGGGCCAAGCCCATTGGCCCATAGGCCCATGAAGGGTGTCAACGAATCACAATCCGCCATGCAACATCTTCTGGAAAATTCTTGAGCATTATCATCTTCTAGGCATACTTGGATCAACATGGCACAGAAAAGGAATCAATGTGGCGCATCATGTACCAAGATGTTCCATGATGGTGCAATAGCTTCTTCATGGCGCAACAGCAACCCTAGTTGGTGCAACAGGGATCTAAATGGCACAAGAGCATCAAGTATGGTGCACAACATCAATCTTGGAGAAACAGCATCACCATGAGCAACAGGCACATGCATGGCTAAACAAGAAAACAAGATGGCACAAGAGGAGAACAAGATGGCGCAAGATCATCCCTCTTGACCCATCTCTTCATCATGTAGTGCAACAAGGACCCCTTGTTGCTCCATATCCCTTCTAAGTGCTCCAAACTCCTTCTAAGTTCTCCAAACCCCCTTGTACACATTCCGTTCCTTTAGCACTTGATCAGTTCCTTTGTCTGATGATCCATTCCTCTCTTAGAATATCTGTTTCTTTGTCACATGCTCCATGAACCCCAAGTTCTCCATTTAGGTCCAAGTGCTCCAAATGCTCCAAATGCTCGAGTCACATTTAACAAACTCCAGCTTGACTTGAGCATCCTCTGAACTCCACCTCGAACAAGAACTTCCTCTCCCTTCCTGCCATTCGTCCCCGAAGGGGCCTACCTCCTGTGAACATCAACCAAGTCCAAGAAAAGATTGAACTTCTCCGTGGGAAACGACTTTGTCAACATATCTGCTGGGTTGACCCTGGTATCAATCTTCAGTATTGAAAACTTGTCTCCTTCCAGAATATCCCGAATAAAATTAAGCCTGACATCAATGTGATCCGTCTTCTCATGATACATAGGAATCTTTGCAAGACTCAAAGCACTTTTACTGTCACCATACAAGACAGGTTTCTCCACCTTTAGACCAAGACTCTGAATAAGCTCTTGCAACCATATCTCCTCCTTTATTCCTTCTGTCATGGACATGTACTCGGATTCAGTTGTAGACAAAACAACAGTATTTTGTAACGTTGACATCCAACTGATGGCACATCCGAATAAAGTGAATATGTAGCACGTCCGCGAACTACGCTTCAACAAGTCACCACCATAATTAGAGTCAGCATATCCCACCATGTCACTCTTCGTATTTTCTCCATACACCAGGAAAACATCCGTCGTTCTCTTCAAGTATCACAAGATCCACTTTACAGCTTCCCAATGAGTATTCCCTGGATTACTCATAAACCTGCTAACCACACTAACTTCATGAGCCAAATCAGGACCGGTACAAACCATAGCATACATGAGACTTCCAACAGCGCTAGAGTATGGAACCCTGCTCATGTACTTCATTTCTTCATTAGTAGTGGGTATAGTGCTTGGACCAAGTTTAATGTGAGCCACCAAAGGAGTTCCAATTGGCTTGGACTGATCACGATTGAAGGATTGCAGAACTTTCTCAATGTACTTCTGTTGAGAAATACACAACCTCCCTGCTTTTCTATCCCTTTGTATCTCCATCCCAGTATCTTCTTTGCTACTCCCAAATCCTTCATCTCAAATTCATTCTCCTGGTCGCCTTCAAGTCATTTATTCTAGCCATTTCTTTGGCTGCGATGAGCATATCACCGACATATAGCAACAGGTATATGTAGGAATCTGGTGACAATTTCTTTGAGTAAACACAATTGTCAAACTGGTTCCGAGTGTAGCCATTCGAGATCATGAATGAATCAAATCTCTTGTACCATTGTCGTGGAGACTGCTTCAAACCGTATATGGATTTCTTCAGTAAACATACATGGTCCTTCTTAGCATCAAGGAACCCTTCTGGCTGGGACATATAAATATTCTCTTCTAAATTTCCATGAAGAAATGCAGTTTTCACATCAAGCTATTCAAGCTCCAGATCAAATGCACTCACCATCGTCCAAAAGAACTTGAATTGTCTTGTGCTTCACGACTGGTGAGAACACCTCATGATAATCAATTCCTTCTTTCTGAGAGAACCCTTTTTCCACCAACCTTGCCTTGAACCTAGCAGGTTCACTCCTGGTATCCCTTCCTTCTTCTTAAAGATCCACTTGCATCCCACTGGCTTTGCTCCCTTTGGTAACGGAGCAAGATCTGATGTTTCATTCTTTTCTAAAGATTGCATTTCTTCATTCATGGCCATTAACCAGTCCTTTGCTTCTTTACTCGCCACAGCCTCTTTATACGATTGAGGCTCCTCGGTGTTAATGTCTTCTCCAGTTGCTAAAGCAAAAGCAATGGAGTCAAGTTCACCTGAATTTACACATCCCATATATCTATCAGGTTGTCGAATAACCCTCTTCGATCTTATCCTTGCTATAGATTCAGACCCATCATCTTTCCCGGCATCAACACCACTGGACGAAGATCCCATGTGTTGCTCTTGGGTTTCATCTTGTCTAGGCTGTTCACTGCCGCCTTGCTCTTTGTCACTTATCATAACTCTGTCTGGAGTTTGAGATGCAAACTCCACCTTCTAGCTAGCACCCTGCACTACTACAAAAACAACCTTTTACAACACGCAATGCGTGTTGTAAAACGCTCAGACGACATGCAAATGTATGTCAAGGAAGGCCCTGTCATAATGAAAGACGACACGCTTTTGCGAGTCGTCTATTTACGACACGCATTTACAACGCGTAATTACGACATGCATTTACGACGCTCCTTTACGACACGCAATACGTATCAAGGAAGGCTCTGTCATAAAAGGAAGACGACACGCATTTGCGTGTCGTAACATTACATTGTACACCACATGTCAAAATATAGATGCTACCTAACATTTCACTATTATATTGTTTGTGGATACAAAATATCAACGGTAAATGAAGCCTGTAACAAAATCGATCATTCTTCACGGATTTCATCAATATCATCACCTGTGTATCGAACTTTGTCACCCCAACCTGAGAAAAAAATTGCATATAATGTTTCAGGTATAAAAAAATGATCATTTCTTTAACAGTGAGTAGTATGCTATATTCATTAAATAAACATAAAATGTAAATTCTCCTTTCTTATTAGAGCATTGTACTTTCAAATAAATGAAAGTACATTGCTATTTCTTGCATATAACCTACAGTATAACAGTGAGTAGGATGCTATACTTACATTGTCATGGACCAACACTTCAATTCCTTCATCAATTATCTCCTTCATTGCAAAGAATTAGCCACCAGTAATATTTCAAGCAAATCTGGGTTTCATGACATGATCAATTATGTTTGTGATAGTTTGAATGAATTTATATGAAAATGATTCAATAGTTACATTACTAGAGTGTATATGTATAAATCATCAAGATATGTTTACCTAAATAACTGGAATACAAAGGATGTCACCTCGCAAAGCCATGATAAGAGAACTAACAACCATCGTTTCTACTACAAACCTCAGTAGCATCCCAAATGCAGTTAGAGTCGCACCACAATTAATTATCTTGGGTTGTAATGCTCCTGAAAAAGATCAAGTAAAGTTTGTAAAATAGTTCATATAAAGTACTTAAAAAGGGTAAAAATGGAATTAATTTATTTATATTATAAAAAAATAATCACCTTATGTAAAGCTTCAACTAAATTTGTTTTATATAAAGCTTCAACTTTGCAAAATAGTTCATATAAAGTTGTTTTATATAAGATCCATCACGAACCTGTGCAAGCCCTTTCTCTATAGCTAATTTAGCATACCTTAAAATATGTTTAATCTGAGTTTAAATCCGAGATTCTTTAGTGTGTGTAGACTGTGGACAATGACATGGTATGAAATCGCGTCATGGCCTTATAATTCAAGAGGTTACTCATAGCTATAATGTGTAAAAAATTTAAAGTAAAATGCCCTAAACATATTTTGAAAATACAAAGCAGAATGCTATAAGGATATAAATGGAAACTATAATGCTATTTCTTGCATAATCACATTTGCACTTTTATAATATGCTAGCAAATGCCTGAGCCTAAGTAAAGTAATTTTAGGTGTAGAGTGTGGTGTAACAAGTTTTGAAGGGTACCTTTTTGATGATAACGCCCTTGCATTGTCGTTCGCCCCTAAAGATGAACATGAAGCACAAACTGAGTTTACGCTTGTCAGAGGCTACAATTTCTACTGTCATGAGTTTGTATTAAGTTTTGAAGGGTACCCTGAGACATACAATCTCCTCCATCAGACCATCTTTTCTCCATGCTAAAAAAGAGATAATTCCAGTGCACACAAAAACTACATGAGTTTGTATTAAGATCATTGATTATAATGTTATATAACTTTTATAACCTGCTTGCAAGTGTAAAATCGCACATGTTATTGTAGAAGTTGATAGAATTATAAGGCAAGGAGGGAAACTGATTGTTGGTGACGAATCCAATACAATAGGGGAAGTTGAAAGCCTGTTGAAGCCACTACATTGCAATGTAAATTTGTATGTTTTTTATAAGAATCAAGAAGAATTACTCAGTGCCCAAAAGTCAACTTGGAGGCACACAGGGGCATTTTTGTCCGCAAAAAAAGTCTCATGATTTGAAGGACTAACAGCAATAGCCTCTAATCGAGCATTCAATGAGCTTTGATTATTCTTCTCATCTTCTGATGGAATGTTGATAGCTTTATAACCTTCTAACATTTCTGCATGGTTTTCTAACAGATATAAAACAGAATTTTAATCGAAATTAATGTTTAATTATAAAACCAAAATTAAGGTGCTAAAATAATTATTCTTACCTTGCTCATTAGCCATGTCAAAGAAAGCTTGAAGCTTCATCCCTCTAACTGAACTGGTGGATAAAGGAAAAGGTGGTGTTTTACCTGGTGTGCCTATCAGATCCCACCACAACAGCTCCGCCGAGTTAATAGTCGTCCCTGAGTACCACCTCTTGATAAAACTGAAATAACACAACAAAAGCTCCATAACACAAAAGCCAAAAGGAAGCTCCGCATGTAAGCGGTATAGACACCAACATCTAAATCCGTAAAAACCAACGACTTGGAAAAAAAATAAAAAATAAAAAAGGCGACACAACTTTTAATACAAAAAGAAAAGAAAACTTGCAAACATGCAAGCAAAAATTGAATAAGCGTGACTACCTTAAATCCTTAATGAACAAGAAAAAAGACACGAGGTTACAAGTGGAGTGTAAATTTACGAATTTACCCCTTCTGGATATATCACTTGGCTTTTTTCATGAGTGTTGTGGTTCTATATTCACTGTCATCATGAATAAAGCTCCACCAGATATACGAAACAGGAATCACAATGGCATGTGAAATAGCATGGGCATCCAAAAAGCCCTTGTAGGGTGGAAAATCATAAATTTGAAATAAAATAATTTAATCCTTCACCAATTGTCACAACCCAAATCTTCCATTTAGATGGATGATTCGCAATTCCAGCCCATACCCCCCAAATCAGTACCTGTGCTACTCCCATTATAGCACAAACCTTCATATTTAAATCTGTATATAAAAGGTTTAAAAAGTTAAAAAGGTTAAAAAGGTGTTTTCCTTTTTATATTTTGAGGGGAAATGAACGATTACCATAGTCAAATTGGTAGTAGATTAAATAAAGAATGTGGGTGGTTACAAAGGCGATTAAAGGAGCTACAACCATGACACGTGTAGCTTCAGTTTTTATACTGAAAGCTCTTAGTATTGATACTATGAGAGAAAATCCAATAACTGTTGCTGCAGATGAGTAATCTAGCTTCTCTGTCATTTCCACATCCCTGAAGGATAAAATGGTCATTTATCATTTCAACAAGAAAACTTACATTGTTTCTTTTTGAGTTAATCTGGACTAATATAAAGGAGTGTTTCTTTTTAAGTTAATGATAACAGAGGCATATTAATCTCATTTGTAAATAGAAGGGTAAAATGGTCATTTACTCATATTCAGACAGTCCAGAAAATAAACAATAGTTTTTCTTTTTAATACTAACAGATGCGGCGTAATATGTTAAGTGGGAAAGATGGTGTTTTATCATTTCTAAATAGAAGGGTAAAATGGTCATTACTCAGATTCAAACAGTTGTATGAGAAAAATGTGCAAAAGGGTAATCTTTAAAGATGTGATAGGGATGAAAGTGAGGAGGAAAGTTAATGTTTGAAAGGATATTACTTACCTACTGTGATAAATAGCACTTCAAAATAAGAAGTTCATTGATAATGTCCCATAGATATGCCATAATTCAGTGTATTCATAGAAAGTTTGTCTATTTAGCCTTAAAGGGAGCTTGTAATTCACAAGAATGAAGAAGGATACCCATCCATGAAATTGAACAGCAAGATTAAAAGCAGAAAGTACCACACACATAGGTTCCTGAAATCAAGATTGAAGAATCAAGAATGAATATTTATCAAAGAGTTGATGTAAAGTAGAAGAATTTGAGGCACCTCAATCTTAAAGGCACGTCTGAGTGGCCATTTTCCATGATATTTGACAGTTGTATCGCCATATGTCTCTCTTTCTTCTTCCCTAACAAGCATACATTGGTATCTGCAGCCACTGAGACAATCCCATTTTTTCCATTTTATGTATAGTGGCTCTTGTAGATACCATGAATCACTCACCAATCAAGCATATAACTTGAATGCTATTCCATATATTATTTTAGTTATATTTAACGAATTTATTTTTTATAAAATAGAACTAAACGTAAAAGTTGTTTAAAATCCAAGTAAATGATCATAACTATGATATTTTTATTACTTTTATTGTCATTAAAAATTACGCGGATAAAAATGTAGTATTATGCAATTTTACATTCCATCCCATGATTAACTTAATCAAAGGTAAGGTATGAGCATATTTCCACCGCCATCTGTAAATTAAGAAAATAAATATGAATAAAGCTTTCAAACCTTCAATTGAGTCTTCACCCACAAAAAAGTTTTTATAGTATTTTGCACCCGAACCGTAGTTCAATTGTACTTACATGGTACTGGTTAAGAAGATGGATCAACTTTTTGACCACAAAAATGCAGGGCATGTAGCTGAGAAGGTAAGCCCGAGTAGCAGTTCAGATACCACAAGCAAGACTGCTACAAAAACTGTAAACTGTAACATAGATAGGTCAAAATTGAACTTCTGAAACGTTTCATCCTGCAAATTCTAACATAGATAGGTCAAAATCTTACCTACATCAACTTTAAGGTTGCTTTGTTAGAGAGAATGACTAGAATAGATTTCCCTTTTTCGCAAACCATGTGCTTATGACTAACTTAATAGGATCACTCTAACAAAAAAAAAAAAAAAAAAAAAAAAAAAAAAAAAACTGTGTAGAGCTTCATATCAACTACTCCAGGGACTATTACGTAATTTAACATGAAGAATTTTGTTCAAATGAAAAGTTTGACTTTAAAGTTTATAAAAATCATTTAATAGAATTTACCTGACCCATGAACCGTGTTGATCCAGGATCTCCTTGCCTTCCTGCTCTGCCACGAAGCTTTGTAAAGCAAGAAATAAATTAAAATGTGAGTAACAAATCCAAAAGTATATGTTAAACTTATGTAAAACCTTAAAACACAATATTGACACTAAGTTACACTTACCTGATTATCATATCAATTCTTCGGGACTCATGTAAAGATGTTCCAATGACATGGAGACCACCAAGCCGTTTGACTTCCAATCCTTCAAGAAAACAATGAATTTCACAGTCCTTTAGAACCGATAAATATGCAATTGCAATGCAAGGACCAAGAGGTTACATCGTACCTATCTAGGGCTTCATTAGTTCATAGATGGCGATAGGGAGAAGTTGTAAAACCCTTAATCTACTTGTAGGTCCAACATATGCACAATGTAACGAGCCCTAATTTGTAGTCTTGTGAGCACGAGGATCCGTAAATGGTTGGATCTTAAACGAAGGCTTGTAAACTTGAGCAGTCGTCACAGTCTCGGTGAGGTGAGGTGAGCTCGAGGTTGTCGGCAGGAAGAGGTGAGCGGAGGTCTTCGGTGGGAAGAGGTGAGCGGAGGTCTTCGGTGGGAAGAGGTGAGCAGAGATGAGCGGAAGTGAGGCAGATGCAGCGAACCTTAGAGAGCATCCTTTTAAAAAGAACCCTAGATCCCCTGCGATTTTGTTATAAGTAAATAATCAGCGCGCGTTCATTTTAAGAATTATAAAGCGACATCCTGCACGACATGTTTTTAATGGGTGTCCTTCATGTTTTTATTTTTATTTTTCTGACACTAATTTTAGGTCACGCAAAAATGTGTATCCTAAATCCTTCACATTTTTGCAGAGATGACATTATTTTTAGGGCACACACTTTTGTGTATCCTAAATCTCCGTGTGTCATGGTTTGCATGTCATTAAAGGCCTATATTCTAGTAGTGCGGATCTTTGTTCCCTACTTGACTTGTTTCACCTCCTCCCTGGTTATCCATGGCAGATTCATCAAAGGTCACATATCTGCTCATGATAAATTTAGGAGTTCTTCCTTCTTTTGTACACCACAGTCGATAACCTTTTACTCCTATCGCATATCCTAGAAATATGCACTTCATTGCCCTTGACTCAAGTTTACTATCATTCACATGAGAATATGCGGGGCATCCAAATATACGTAAACCAGAATAGTCAGAGGTTTTCCCGGACCATACCTCTTGAGGAGTCTTCAAGTCTATTGCAGTTGATGGTGATCTGTTCACCAGATAGCATGCAGTGTTAACTGTTTCTGCCCAAAATTTCTTGGATAAGTTATCAAATATTCGCATGCACCTTGCACGCTGCATGAGTGTTTGGTTCATACGTTCTGTCACTCCATTTTGTTGTGGTGTGTGTCGTACAACGCGGTACCTCACTATACTTTCTACCTTGCAGAAATTATCAAATAGAGCATTGCAGAACTCCAACTCATTGTCAGTCCTCAGAGTCTTGACCTGTTTTCTAGTCCTTTTCTCAACCATGGTCTTCCACTCCTTGAATTTCCCAAACACCTCATCCTTCGTCTTCAGAAAGTACAACCAAACCTTCCTTGAATAGCCATCAATGAACGTCACGAAGTATGAGCATCCTCCTTAAGACTTCACTAGTGCAGGACCCCACAGATCTGAGTGAACATGCTCTTGGATTTCTTTGCTTGTGTTTTGACCGGTACGGAACTTCAATTTGCGATGCTTTTCCCTTGATGCAAGCTTCACAAAACTTTATCTTTCCAGTAGCCTCTCCACCAAGCAGTCCTTGTTTACTTAAAACTGACATGCCCTTCTGATCATGTGCCCCAACCTACGATGCCACAACTCTGTCTTGTCATCACCTTCATTCAAGGATTGGGAGATAGCCATCGTTCCCATAACCGTACTTCCTTCTAGGATATAGATCCCTCCACGATACATCTTCCCTTTCATTATAACCAAAGAGCCTTTGGTTACTTTGAGCCAGCCGCCTTCACCAGCGTACCTCATCCCATTCTTAGCCAATGTGCCAAGAGAAATTAGATTCTTCTGAAGTTCTGGAACGTACCAACAATCTAACTTCCTGACCATGCCATCATGCATCTTGATCTGCACTGTACCACTACCTTTGATACTGCTCACCCAATCATCACCCATCTTGACTGTGCCATCCCACTCTTTGAAGGAGTCGAACCAGTCACGATTATACGTCATGTGACAGGATGCTCCAGAATCTAAGACCCAAGCATCAGCAAAACTTGATGTACACACAGTCAGTACATCACCATCGTCCCCTTCATCAGAACTTTCCTGAACCACAGCAGCAGTGTTATTGCTGCTTGATTCACTCTTGGACTTCTCATTCCTCAGCTATGGACAATTTCGCTTGAAGTGCCCCTTCTGCTTATATTTATAGCATTTCATGTTTGATGAACCTTTAGACTTTGATTTTGAACATGATCTCCCTCTGTTTCCCCATTTCCTCTCTTCTGTCCTCCCTCTCCCTGCAAACAAACTGGAACTGGACACCTCCTCTCCACCTGAAACTTTTCTTTTCAGTTCCTTGGACATCAGAGAGTCCTTCACATCATTCATAGTGATCGTTGTCCTACCATAAAGCATGGTATCAATGAAATTATCATATGAGTTAGGAAGCGAACATAAGAGAATGAGCGCCTGATCTTCATCTTCAATCTTCACATTAACAACTTGTAGATCCAAGATGATACGATTGAAGTTATCCAGATGATCTTTCACTTGGGTACTTTCTGACATTCTGAGAGTGTACAACCTTTGCTTCTGCTACAACCTGTTCGTCAGTGAGTTGTTCTGGTACTTGTCACAAAGTTTATCCCAGAGCCCAGAAGCAGTTGTTTGATCCAAAACCTCCCTCAGTACTTCATCTGTCAAGCTCAATAGAATGGCACTATATGCCTTCGTCAGAATATCCATCTTCTTATCAGCCGCTATGTCCGTTGGCAGTTTTTCCTCTCCTTCCAGTGCCGCCGCACATCCTTGTTGAACCAGAAGAGCCCTCGTCTTCACCTTCCACAAAGTGAAGTCATTTGAGCCATTGAACTTCTCCAAATTGAACTTGTGAGTAGACATCTTCAATCACGGGAATACGAACCGCAGTTTTGATACCACTTGTTAGGAAGTAAAGCGGATAACTAGCAAGACCAAAAGCACACAAGGCACAGTATTTATGTGGTTCGGTCAAGATGACCTACGTCCACAGGCAGGAGGGGAGTATTCTTTATTTCAGAGCTCTTATATGGAGGTTACAAGTATAATTACACAGAGATTCGCCTATCACTCTAGAATTCAAGATACAAAATGACCTACCATGCATCCCTATTTATACTTGAGGAATCAGACCTAAAACCCTAATGGGCCAAGCCCATTGGCCCATAGGCCCATGAAGGGTGTCAACGAATCACAATCTGCCATGCAACATCTTCTAGAACATTCTTGAGCATTATCATCTTTTAAGCATACTTGGATCAACATGGCACAGCAAAGGAATCAATATGGCGCATCATGTACCAAGATGGTCCATGATGGCGCAATAGCTTCTTCATGGCGCAACAGCAACCCTAGTTGGCGCAACAGGGATCTAAATGGCGCAAGAGAATCAAGTATGATGCACAACATCAATCTTGGAGAAACATCATCACCACGAGCAACAGGCACATGCATGGCTCAACAAGGCCATACATGGATCGACAAGACAACAAGATGGCACAAGAGGAGAACAAGATGGATCAAGATCATCCCTCTTGACCCATCTCTTCATCATGTAGCGCAACAAGGACCCCTTGTTGCTCCATATCCCTTCCAAGTTCTCCAAACTCCTTCCAGGTGATCCAAACCCCCTTGCACACGATCCGTTCCTTTGGCACTTGATCTATTCCTTTGTCTGATGATCCATTCCTCTCTTAGAAGATCTGTTTCTTTGTCACATGCTCCATGAACCCCAAGTTCTCCATTTAGGTCCAAGTGCTCCAAATGCTTCATGAACATGATCCAAATGCTCTAAATGCTCGATTCACATTTAACAATTACCCATGAGCCCACAACATAAGTCTGGCTTGCCCTCGGCCCACAGCTTATGTCTGGCTTGCTCCCCGGCTTGATCAATCCTTGGACTGAAAACCGCTAAGCCCTCAGTACGAGTCTGGCATGCCCTTCCCGACCATCAGCTCGTATCTAGAATGCTCATGAGTCCTCAGTATGAGTCTGGCATGCCTTCCCTGGCCCTCAGCTCATATCTGGCATACTCCAGAGTTTGTTGGCTACAACACGGAGCAATACAACCTCAACCCAACCCATACAATATGTTGACATATAACAGATAATATCATATACAGATAAACAGACAGTATCACAGGTAGTCCTACAGATCTACCAGACTATTATATCAAATCTAGCATGCATATCTATTCCATACTCAGCATATCAACAAATATCTGGTTATCAAACCAATAGGTTGGCCTTGGTGCCTTCGACCTGAAAGTACAGTGAGGAAAACTCACCTCACAAGTAGTGCAGAACTGATAAGGTTTGACTTCGAATCTCAGCTCTCGACTCGAATGCCTACAACCACCATGTGACCAATTCCATCAAGATTCCAAAATACCCAAATTACCCTCAAAAGTCACACTTGGTCAACCATGGTCAAAGTCAGAGTCAACGGTCAAGGTCAACAGTCCATGTTGACCCAACTCTTCGAGTGCACCCATGAACTCGTCGAGTTTCTGTAGTACTCAGAAGGTCGAGAAAACCCTAGCCAACTCAACGAGTTTTCCCCAGCTTAACACATTCAGTCCTTATATCGAAACTAAGGCTTCAAAATGTAGATATGATACCTTGGAGCTGGAAAACCACATAAATGTAACGACGTAAATTTCCAAAACAATTTTTCATTTTTAAAACATACTTTTATTCATAAGGTACTATCAAAACATAGTGTATCCAATGTTATCATGACAAAACATATCCCAGAGTCTCAAGACATAAACTTCATGAGTGTGTACGGATCATGTCGGCGCCTTCCCGCGATCCTCGCTAGTACCTGAAACACATAACACAAAAACTATAAGCATAAATGCTTAGTGAGTTCCCCAAAATACCACATACGCACATACGCCACTCAAGGCTATAAGACCTTCCGTTCACTGGGTCTCAGAGGACTTCCGTCCCACAACCCTGGTAGACCTTCCGGTCCTACCCGTAATGACGTTCCGGTCCATATCATCTTGACCTTCCGGTCCATATCATCTTGACCTTCTGGTCCATATCATAATGACCTTCCGGTCCTTAGCATTCATAACATACATAACACATCCATATCATATAACAGCATACAACACATACATCTCGTAGCATATAAGACCTTCCGGTCACACGTAGGTACCACTCAAGGTACAATATAGTGAGAAGACTCACCTTGTACGAAGTCGGATAAACTCTCATAGCACATACATCTCGTAGCATAAAAGACCATTCCCGATCAATATCCTCTCATAGCCTCATCTCAAAAGATTGGGTATAAGGCCATTCTACCCCTCCCTGAACTCTCCTCAATCAGCTTGACCAAAACCTTAAGGTTAACTGAAGTCAACGGTCAAACTTTGACCCGACTCGT